TTAAACTTTTTTCATATTTTTTTTTTCGTAATACTTAACATAAGAATTTGTAAGATGTCGAGATAATCACGTACTAAGATTAATAAATAATTTTATAAGAAATAGATGTTTTTGAAAATTTTATATTCAACATATCTTTCAACTACAACAACACTATTATTCTATTTTTTTTTCTTCTTCTTCTTCTGATAATGTACATGCTATTCTATCAGAAGAGAATGAGAGAGCTTGTGTGTATGTGTGTGTGTGTATTGAATCATCATCATCATCATAATAGAATTACATTTTATTATCATCTGTAATTATATGTGCATAACAGAATAAAAAAATTGTTAATGTTCTTATTTTTAGATTCAAACAAACTGTATGATTAATTATTTGAAGATGAATTTTTGATCAATACCCTGAGACCCTAATTTGAGATTGATTAATAATATCTCAGGTTACGTTCTCCGGCAATTGACAAAATATTCAACTATTGAAGTTTATTAGTTGTATGTCTACACAGAAGAAGATGTAAGTATTGTAAAGTTTTATATCTACTATAGAAAATAATAAAAAACAACAACAATAACATCGGATTAGATGATATATGATCGAACACAATTGAATCAATTATAAAATGGAATTTATGCATTTTTTTTTGTTTTTTACGATAAATAAACATTTTTTTATATAATTTTTAGACTCTTGTTCTATACTAATAATCATTCTTATTTTTGTTTTAGGTGTCTGAATTAATGACTGCTTCAATTGCATCGATCTATGTTTTCAATATGAATTTTACTTGAGTCGAACAACATTCAACATCATTCAATTGTACTTTTAAATTTGTTATTGTTTTTTTCTTAATTTATATAATGAAATAGGATTTAGTCATGTTTATCCTGAGTAACATAGGTGGATGATATTAATACGCACTACATGTCTTAAAATGATTAAATTATTCATAATATTGTATTGAATCTAAGTACCATATCGAGTCATTTCAACTTTTTATCATTTCTCTAAGCAATAGTACTCTGAATTATTACAGAAGTATTTCGAAAAGTTTTTTGAATTTACAATTATCGATTAGGATTTTCTCAAGTTCATGCGCGAAGGTAGAGAAGACATATCATCGGGTTTCATTTAGATATACGTCTACATGTCAGAGTCTAATGTATTGAGTCGGTGATGAATTCGTTCTTTTTCTAACGCTGATTTTCGGCAAATTTAGAATGCTTATTTGATGCAATACGTAAACTGCCATTTTAGTGATTAATCAAGTGATTTTACTCTAGAGAAGAAAAATTTCTATACACAACTATTGTCTGTCAAATAAATATAATAATAAAATAATAATGGTTTTCCAGAAGTCCTTTTGGAAAACGTTAGGGTTTCGTAAAATTTCTTTCAAAATCTCCTATAAATAGGACACAGAATAGCTTAAATAGTTTACATTCTGAAGTTTTGAAGTCGTTCTGATGTTTTTTGAGTGAATAGTGAATTTTTTAATATTAGGTGAAAACCACCTGAAAACCCTATTTTTCGTAAAAGTCGCTTTTCGGTAGCTTTTTAAATTTTTTCTCAAAACAAATATTGCCACAAGACTCAGCATGATCGATTATCCATAGTCCGTCGGTATCTAAGGGTTTCAATAGTCATCGGGTGCCACTCTTGAGACTTATAGGAAATGCGATACAACGCCCGAACAGCAGAAAATCAAGGACTTGCTTGACTCCCATATTGAAAAGGACTCTCCATGCTATCAGACCATGAAAACAAAACAATACAATCCTATTGAGAAACTTTTACACGCGGCCTAGTTTTCCAAAGACCCCCTAGAAAACTTTCTGGGAAAAATTTTTGTTATGAAAACATACCTTCAAGTCTCCTCTTTCGAATGGTGAAAACCGCCACTTTTTATCTCTTATCATTCTCGAGTTATTTAAAAAATAATCACGGTCATTATTTTATTAGACAAACAGTAGTCAATTTTATCTTAAGATTCATCGATTGATTTAAAAGTTGAACAAATATCAGAAAAACCTTTCATATCTTATTCAAAATAAACTATTGTTCTGATATATAATCGCAAGTATTTTCTGCAAAGAGAGTTTGTATTGATCTAGTGAAAATATCAGCTGTTTGCCAGATGTTTCAAATGATTCATCATTTTCATTATCTTCTACAAATATATAGTTCATGCTAGACGGAGCATTTTTAATACAGAGAAAGTCAATTCTGCATAGGTTAAGAAAATTTAGAAATCGATTTCTAGCTCATGTATTACATTCACAATTTGAGCATAGTTGAACTGTATTCTTCTACTCTTCATTTTAAAGTATAATCCGCATTACCGAGTCAAAACCAAACGCCTGAAGCAGAAAAATATTCTGATTTTCTTGCACAGTCAAGATTGTTCTGTTTAAAGTGAAAATCAAGCAAAAACTGGATGTACTATGCGCATGCTTTGTTAAAGACAAAAATAATTTGTCTAAGTGCAAAAAACAGAGTATTTTAAATGAATTAATTTACTCAAAAAATTTTCTAATATTTTGAAACGACACATAGCGAGTGATAGTTCTTGCATAGAATTTGATGCCTTTTTTTTGTACAATATTTCAATGATTGTAAAATTTCTAGACATAAGGAAAAACATCTTTGTTTAACAAGAACTGAAACATGTAGTAAAATTTGCAAATTATCAATAGACATTGAAAAACTCAAATAACAAAGAATGATATCAACAGCGACAAGGTTCGTTGACTATAATTTGTAAGAACATCTTTGAACATGAAATATGTCACAAAATAAATCGGATAATGTTTTAGAAGAAGGGGAAATAATGCAACAATGTGTAAACCGTTCAGTTTTGAGAAACAAATGTGGTGTTTAAATAGATAAGCAACTGTTCTTAAGTCATCAGTTAAAAGAAAGTGCTGAGGAAGAAGAAGTAGAAATTTCATGTTATCATCGGAATCAGCAATAGATTTATCTTAATTTTAGTGACTAAGAGACTTTAAAACATATCGTTTGTACAGTATCACGATAAAGAGGTAGATTTCGAGTATTATGTGTCAGAAAATGTATGGAAAAGCCTTTGTTCGATCAGAGAATGAATTTAAAATGATTTTGATAATTACATACAATGTACGTTATCGATTAGACATAATAATTGTTTAGAAGAAAAAATGTAAAAACTTCAAATAAACAATTAATAAAAATGAAAAAAATTTAGGAAAAAATATAGGCTTATACAGACTCATATACATAGAAAGTACAACATCAAAACATTTACAAACTTAAACACTAACTCATTATTATGTTTTGATTTTATCTAAGCTATAAGATAGAGGGAAATATGTCGGTAATTGTTGACAGATATTCTTTGACAAAGATAATGAAATCTCAAAGATGAACATTAAAACTTACAGATACAAATCATTCAATAGTTAACTAGTGTTCATGATTATTTACTAATTATAAAGTAGAAATTAAAAATATTAGTTTATAAAAAACAACAACAACAACTGCACAATATAGCAAAAAGAAAAAAAAAATTAAATTATACTAAAGAGACAAAAAGTGTTGCTAGTAATGATAAATAGAACAAAAACATGTATTTGTTCGCACATATCGAAAGAGACTAGGCATATCAAAAAGGAAAAAAAAATAAAAGACAGATTATAAACATAAAAGCAAAAATTTTTCATAGTTTTTCGCACTAAATTATATCATTATAGGTATCAAGTACGAAAATTACTACAAAAAAAAGAGAAGAAAGTATCTCAAAATACAAACATAGTACAGATTCTTTTTTTTTTGCATAAAAACTTTGTCGCCGGTACACTAATAAAAATAATAAGAAGAAGAATATTCATAACAATCGTAATTATAAATTAACGACGCACAACTGTTTGTCACATATAACAGAATGATACTGTTACAGCAATTCTAATAAAGTGTGCTTTCAGAACTTTTTGCATCAGTTTCGAAAAAAAAATAAATGATAGAAAAACATGAGATACAATTCTCTGGACATTATAATAGCGAGACAATATGTCGTTTTCGGACGATGTTGAAAGGAAGGGTTACTTCTATATAAAAAAGATAATTAAAGATAATTAAAATATAAGTACGATGCACAAACATTCGGAAGGTGTAAGAGAGAAGATCACAGTATACAGTTATACGTTCCATTTCGTTACCATTACACTAAAAATATTAAGCTAATACATAAAATTGAGAAAAAGAAAGAATTAAAACATAAATATGTTCAATGAACATTGCCAAAAACGCAAACGTCTAATACTGAAGAGTAGAAGAACGTTGTGAATATCAAAATACTGATTCAATACTACAATGTCAATTGAGATTTGAAAGAAAGAACAGTTGCACGTGTTATCAAAAGAATAGAAGAAGCGAAAAATTAAAAATCTAAACATCTATTTCAATGATTGTTAAACATCTATTCTAACTATAGAAACTTGAATAAGAAAAATGTATTTTCTAAAATGAAATACGTGAGAAATAATGATGAAACAAATGAGAAATGTATTCTACCCTGAAATTTATCATATATCTCACACATAATCAGTTTTTTCAAATGTTGGATAAAAAAACGCTAATTTAGCTCACAAAAACCGTTTCACTTAATTTAACTCAAGAAATGATGAAAAAAATACAAAACATTTAGATTCATTATTACAATATCTGTTTACAATAGTACTATTGGTCCCTTCTACATCAGTTTACTAGAAAAATGGATGAACACATTGCATTCAGAAAAAAAAGAATAATAACCTAGATAAATTCGAGTTAAATAACCACAAGGAGAAAAGTACTCAACGATCAAAGATTCTCACTTGCTTCTGAAAATTAGGTTTACTCAGTATACACACTGGTGATTATTTAACAAAATCAAAACATGGACGAAACATAACTATAGTGGTACAAAGAAAAAGTCAATGATCTTTAAATCAATTGTATCCTCCATAAATGAACAAAATTTTTCTTCATGTATTCAATTGATTTCGAAGTCTTAAACGTTCATGTGCTCGAAACATTTCCTGTTGTTGTTCAGGATTCATTAAATGTAACGGCGGAGCTGACGGTTGAGGTACCATATCCATACGTGGAGGAGGAATTTTTGGTGGAGGTATTGTCGGTCGTTGTAAAGGATTATTTGAGGTAGGAGATAAAGTTAAATTTGTAGATGATGGATGAACATCTAGTGTTTCAGTACTGGCCATTGGAGCATCACTAATCGCTGTTGACTGAACACGTGAACGTTGATGTTTTTTCCCTGTTTCAGGTGTGGCTAATGGTGCAGCTTTTTTATCAAATAATTGCTGGTCACTCTAAACAACAATAAGATTATACAATACTATATAAAAGAGAACTCATGTGAACATTGAAAGCATTAGACTAAAGCAATAAGCATTGAAGCAATCACTGAAACAAACATCTATTTTTATTAATGCATATACAAAATCACACATGAACGTTCATTGTTTATATCACATTGTATGTTGTCGGTTATCTTTCCTTTATTCGAACTATTGTATAGTAAATAAAAAAAACAACAATATACTTCGTATAAATAGATTTATAAAAAATGATAGAAAATGAACACTACTAGAACGAACAATGGAGCGGTAAAAGACTAGATTAGAAAATGAGTATGAATGAGAGAGCCTATGACAAAAAATAATAATGCACAACTATTTGTATTTTCAACTCATTCGCTACAATATGAACGCAATCTATGTAACTTTTGTAACTGTTTAAATGAATGCTGTTAATAAATAATTTAGGATTGTATCCTATCATTTTCCATAATCAATACAATACAAAAAACAAGTGAGTTAACATTAGATTAGAGGGAAAAAAAAGGTCCAGGATACGTTCTTTTAGGATAAAAAATAACTTATAAAAACATACCATAGATCAAATACAAAAGTGAATAGCTTCAAAAATACGATCATTCTCTATCTAGAAAACTAACAACAAATATCTACAAAATCTATATACAGGCTCACATTCACACATGCGGAGATTTATATAACTGCACAAAATGACTAAGATATAAAGCAAGAAAAAGATTGATGCCAGTGACTAATGCGCGCGCGCGTACATAAAGCAGCAAATTACACATATAGTGTGTATAGATCGGCGTGAGATTGGTTTTACGATGAAGCAAGAGAAAGAAAAAAATAAAGAGTAATGAAGAAAATCGTTTTAAAACAATTAGTTGACGAATATTATGAGTTTAGTACTTCCTAATAACATTTTTTTAATGAGAATTTTTTGTCAATAGATAGTCAACGTGTATTATGGATAAAAAGAGCAGTATAAGGCACTTAAATAGAGATTGAATATTCGAATTTCAACAATATGAGAAAGACTGAAAAATATTCAAGTAATTTCTGATTTAAAATTCAAAAACGATTTTCTTCTTCTCTTTCTGCATGACTAAGAGACAGCACTAGACGATTATTCTTCGCACTCATAATAGAGTACCTCTCGGTGTCTATCATCTTGTCCTCCATTTGATGTTACTGCTCTGATTGGTGGTGGTGGTGGTGATTTAGGTGAAAATAAAACTTTATTTCCATGTTTTTTTGTTTCTTGTTCAAAAAATTTCTTTTTTTGTGCAAATGATTTTGGTTCAAGATAATGCTGTTCTCCCACCGTTCCATCTTTATCTTTATGAATAGCAGCAAGAGCCAGAGCGGCTTGCTGTTGTTGTTCTTTAATTTCTTCATAAAAATTATCAGCTTGTTCACGTTCACTCTGTGTAAAATGATTTATGGGTGATGGTTTTAAAAGAGATTCACGATCGGTATTATCAATAACATGATGAATGACGACAGAAGAGGAAGCAGATGAAGTTGATGTTGGACGAGGAGCATAAGGTTCTTGTAAATGAGGATGTTCAATGTGAAGTGGCCTCAAATGATTGTTTGTGATGGGTGATGATGAATTTAAATGTTGATGATCGTGATCATGATCGTCATCTGAATGTAAATATTTCAGATGACGCTTACGACGACGTCTAAATAAGACAAAGAAAAATAACAAAATTCAATGAGAAGTGATAAAGGGTATGATTATCTCCTGAAAAGGAAAGATATTTCAAGCATCACAGTAACTTAAATCAAAAATAAATTATTTACAGTAATATTTTCATAACATAGAAAATATTATCATTCTCTAAAATATAGAATTTTTAGGCATAATATGACCATTAATATACAAGATAAACAAGCGATGTTTTTTTCGATCAACCTCTGATACACGTACTTTGATACAAGAATAGCTGCGATAACAATGATGAGTATAAGAAGAACTAAAATAACACCAGCAACAATACCAACTAACACGCCTAAAATACAAAAAGAAAAAAACATGATAACTATTTGTCAAAAACCATTTTTCTGTCTATATATTCATTTGTTTAAAAAAAATAATCCTACGAACAAAACTTGAAATTTCGTTATACTCCATCCTATAATGTTTGATATTGAGTTCTTAGACGTCTATCAAAAAGCCTTTCTACTGTTTACCTCAACAAAAAAATTGCACGGGAATTTAAAAGTATAAACAACCAAGTTGTACAACACCATCGACAGCTGTGTAGATAGACAAAGAAGATCAGATCCATAACTTTTGTTATCAACTTTAAGCCTCTAGATTGCTGTAATGCTACCCTAATCTGTTATTTGGATATAAATCTGATAAAATTCTCTTCCAGAATAGAAGGACATAGCCTTTTGTTTTACTTCTGAGAATCATCTTCGTTCGGATGCCCATCTAATTTAAATGGCACGCTCTGTTTTGCGTTTGACCATCGGTAGTATTATATTGTTTCAGACAAAACGTTTATCTGAGAGTAGTCTACAAAAATTGCGCTCCTTCTGTTCTGTGAAGGAAGTTAGTTATTTAGGTTTTACTGATTAGTACCATCATAATTCATTCCATGTGTCAAATATTTTACAATTCATCATCTCTTTTTCTTTTCTTTCTTTTTCTATTCTTTTCTCAACACATAACAGTGATTATAGAGAACAGAAAAGACTAAACATTTCACAGTCATCATTCAATACATATACATACAAATGTATTATAATTAGTCGATGAGAAACATAAAATGTGTTCAATGTACATACCAAAATCTCTTTTGCCACGATTTTTTTGTTTACTTCCATTATTATGATCATCTGGACGTCGTTCGGCTTCAAGTGAATAGGGAGCATATTCAGATATACGTGAATCGACTAAAGTTTAAAAAAAGAGAGGAGCTATAATAGGAGAATAAACATCCCACAGGGTGTCGATCAAGAAAAACGTAATAACACATTATATTATCGTTTTATCAAACATTTGACATTATTACAATAGAACCATTCAATTACTGTTCAATTTGAAGACTTTGGTACCATAGGTGGTAACAGTAAATTGAAATTAATCGATAAAACACAATAAAATAAAAGGAAATGTCAACATTCTATTTTATGAACAATAACGTAATTCTGTTACTTAGTGCAGTTGTGAGTGTTATTAGACTTTATAAAGAGTAGTAGTCATTGTACATAATAATTTTCACAAAACGAACTCATTAACATCATCATACATTAGAAGCAGGCACATAATTAATATTTTTATTTTTATGTGTAAAATAATTAATAGCATTGTTTGTTATGTCCACACGCATACATATATTTCTTCTTTCTAATAGAGAAAACAAGTAAATCAATCTGTTATACTATCTGTCCAAGACAACAGACTATTTTTATGGCATTGTTTGAATAATTGAGAAATAAACACTAACAACACGTACATCAAATATAACGAATGTCAATAAAAAGGAGAGATGAACAACACATTTGTCTATATAGATAAAATGATTAGGGTAACTAATATATGTGTAATAGAACGAGTCGACCTTCAGCAAAACAAAGTTCAAATGCCTTAAAGGATGAGAAGAAATTTCACATTTACGTGACGTGAACGATCTCAATATTTACATATGGACAATGAAATGATAATCAAAACAAAGACTAGCGAAAAAAAAATATATATATACAAAAGCCCTGAATGATTTTCATTCAACAATTGGAAAGTTCTCATTAGTAGTAAATAATGAGAAAAAGCAAGCGATTCTATGAATAACTAGTTGACCACTTATTATTACACAACAAGGTATTAAAAAAAATGCTGTCTATTTGAATTGAAAAAATACGAAATCATCATGCGTAAATTCAAAAGTGAAATATCTATCATACTATCGCCGCAATCTATTCCAGAAATGGGTTAAATATTTTTAACATTATTCTCCACAGTCATATGTACCTTGAGTGATAGGATATGATGTTGCAAAAAGAACAATCTTACCTTGAAAATAAAGTATAAAATGTCCACCACCATTATGATTTGTTTTTAATTCAAATTGCACAATTTCATTTGTCACATTAACATCAAGTAATTCATTCGCTAATATTGACCGTTTTGCACCACCTTGTGCCTTTTCTTCATTCAATAAACGAATGTTAAATTCATGATAATATTCAATTTGTTTTTGGAGTACAAATAGACGAAATCGTGCATCACGTTGAATATGCAATTCTTTTTTACATGAGAGATATTTTCCGATAGACTGAGGATACTGAGGACTGTGAAGTAGTCCACGTTCAATTTGAATCAGTGCACTATCATTTGAACAAATATCAAGACGAGGTAATTGATCGAAAATATTTTCACCTATAACAAACAAGTAGATATTAATAACTAGAAAGGGAACGAAAAACGTAGGAGATCGAATTCAAAAAATCCTAAAACATATCCAGATAGCAAAATACATAATGCTAGAACTGCCTCTTGCTATCGGTAGGTGAGAGAATAATAGGGTGTGACAACATTTTGTATCAACATCAATTTAGTCTTGTCGAGACCTGTATATAAACTATATACACTAAGTTAAAGTATTAGTAATCTTCGTTCTCATTAGGACTAAAAGTTGACATCAAAATTTGAAAAATACGTACTTGGTATACAACTGTAATCAACTAATGAAAAATTGCTATATGTTCCATAGGCACAATCTCTTAACAGCGGTCGATCACCATAACGAATTATGCATGAATCTTTATTTGCACTTGTTGCACATAGTTGTGAGTAAGTATGATGAACGTATTGATTACAATACCACTGCTCTTTTTTACAGGCACTTGAACTTTTCTTTTCTGTTATACCTAAAACGGCATATGCAATGTACAAACGATAATCACGATCACAGGCCAAATTAATGTCCGGACGACGAAAACTCGAATCACATAAATAATCTTTTTGATCATAAATAACTAAAACAGATATATTTCATTATTTAAACAAAGCAAGATAAAACTGTTTACGAGAACAGGAAAAGTTTATTTTCAAAACTTGATAGGATTAGAATTCTATTTTACCTGGAACACATTTATATTTGGTATAAAATCGCACTGTTGATCCACATGTTTGGTTGATATGATATCGAAAATCTTTAATTTGAACTTGGCATGATCTCTTTTTGTTACAAGCAAATGTCAACGTATTTTTATTGTGTAAACTACATCGTGTCACTCCTGAGCATGTGTCGTCTACCGTCGATTCATAAACAACATCTTCAATGTCGATAACATAACCAGGACGACAAGACGGTAGCGTATTTGTCACATCCGATTGAGGTGTATAATTTGGATCTGTACAAAACCAAGGAGTGGGACGAGTTTCATAACTAAGCGTTACTAAAAAAAAACAAACATAATGAAGGCCATCTTGAGATTAATCATTCTCATTATTTTCTACAAAAATGGAAGAAAGTTGTTATATCACTATCATGTACGTTGCTGTTTACTAATTGGCAATGTAAGCAAGAGTAAGTTTGTTCAAATAACATTCTTTGTCCAGTTGGTAAGCAAGCCATGGGCTATACTTCAACAAAAATGCATTAACATCAATCATTCAGTACGCAAACTATCTACTCTTTTTAGCGCTTTCGACAAGGACCGCTAAATACAAATATTGAACTTGTTCTTTTAGCAGCAAACTTACGTTTAGTAATTAAAATGATGATAAACAAACTTCTAAGAACCATTTAATCACCATATATGCAAGGAAAATAGTATGCAATTAAGTAGGATATCCATTTATTTATCAATCTGAAAATCAATTAGTCAACTAAATGGACGTCATTTGAGATTCTAGAATAAATAAAATATTGATGTATCATCGAAGCCAATTAACAAATACACATAACTCTAAGTGAATGAATGAAGAAATAAATGAGTCAATGAACACAACTGTTACATATCTATGGTCATAAGTCTGATACAAATAAACCAATAAAAAGACTTAAAGTATCTATGCAGATTGTTTTATTACAAATTAAATTTATCTAGAAACAACAATGTAAAGTTTTGCAATTTCCAACTGGCCACATAGAAAAGCAAGGTGTACTTGTCCCTCTTGGGTGAAAGATTTGTCACGACTACAGTAGTAGAAATGGTCTGAGACCCTTTTTTCGTATGCCATTTATCGAAGAAAAGGGTCAGAAAAATTGTAGTTTAGGTAATTAATGCAAAATACTTTTTTGTGTTATTAAAAGAATAGAAATTATTAAAACAATTCTGCCTGTAATAGGAACAATAACAAACTCAGACTATACCTTGCCTCACATTTTCTCATTATGTCCTCTTTGTATCCGCTATTTGCTGAAATGTCATAATCTGCTGCTGATTCGATCCATTGATAAATTTTTGGAGGACATTTTTGGAGTATATTAATATATACAACATTGCCTAAACGATTGCCTATAGGCATATACAGTGCGAGATAATTTTACTATGAAACTTAAATTGATAGTTATCATGTTTTTGGTACAAAAGTTCCTTCGGGAACCTTTTAATCTCCTTGATTATATATGATTCATGGACATATAGTAAAGAAATGATCCATGGTCAATAATTAAATGAATCATATACGATACATAGACAGTGAACATGTTAATAAACTATTCGATTTTGGGGCAAAAAGTAAATACCGTTTTGATTTTGTCAGACACGTTTGTTAGAGTGTAGCAGTCTGTTGTGATCAGTAAAATAAATTCGGGAAGAAGTTGTGTTAAAAACTCGTTTATTTTGGATTAGCAAGTTGTATAACGTACCAGTACCAACAGCTGAAGGATGTTGGGTGATTCTTTCGAGAACGTATCACGTTTACATGGACCTGGTCCAAATTGTTCGAGAGTAACAGGATAGTACAACTCGTTACTGTAGATTCATGAAAAGATAAACCTGATATAGGAGTTGAAACAGACAGGCTCATAGATCTAGGCATAAAACTTTCTAAATCAGAGACAAAAAAGTCAGAATTCTGCTCGTAATTCTTAATTTTTTCCATCAGGCCTCAACTTTTTCAAAAACTGACTCGACTAATGTGTATTTCTAACCTATCTTGTTACTTCAAGACTAGTGCATTAACTTTCAAATCAAATCATGAAGTGTCAAATTTCCTTCCAGCACCGTTCGCACTCGAAATATCACCTAAACA